GGGCTGTGAACTGCAAGGTCAGCAGTTCAAAACTACCAGCTGTCCCATGGGAGAAAGATGAGACTTTCTCCTCCCGTAAAGATTTACAGCCTCAGAAACCCTGTACAGGGTCGCTATGAGTCGGAACCGACTCCATGGCATACAACAGCTATATATATATATATATATATATATCCCCTTTCATTCTTGTGTTCCCTTCCCTTATATATGTAGAACAGACCCAGAAATTTACTCAGAAAAGCAGGGAAGATGGGGTGGGGTGGTCTTCTATGCTGAGAGCCAAGATACAGACAGATGGAAAGCTAAATCTCACTTAAGCCACCTCAGGCAGAAAAAGTAATTGAATTAAACTTCCTCTAAATATGGTAAGTTTGGGGCTCTTAAAGCCAGGCACAAAGCCCCAGGTTGGAGTGAGCTGTTGAGTAAATGGTGTCCTGAGCTCTAGATGCCTAGCCCACGGGAGTGTGATAAGCTGTTGATTGCCTTGATCCCTTACTACCAAAGCTGAAAACTCATTAAGCTGCTTATAGGCTCCGGGGGCTAATGGTCTGGCCCACCAAGAAGACCGCTGCCACAGATTCAAGTAAGCTGTCTGGCATGTACAGTTTGATTATTACAAGAAAAAAAAAAAGTGGGGGGGGGGTTGAGGGGAAGGAAAGACAGCAGGGTACAGGAAGGCTTTGAAAGAGGCTTTATTATGACAAATGGAGGGACTACTTTGACACCCTAAAATGAATATGGAATTCTGATTCTGTCTCTTCATCTGATATCAAAACTCGTTTCTGAAAGGCATCCTCAAAGAGAGCTCACTTTGGAGCCCGCCCATTCTATTTTAAACCACTTTTACAAGAATGGTCCGGGCCTTTAGGGATATACCTCTCAAATGACAGGATCTAGTTCTCAGATGGAGTTTTGGTGTGTAGCTGTAGGTTAATGCACTGGACTGCAAAGTCGGTTTGACCCACAAGGTTGGCGGTTCAAACCCACCAGCTGCTCCATGGAAACCCTATACGGGTTCACTATGGGTCGGAACTGACTCGACACACTTAACGACAACAACAATAGTACTCAGATACTATGACTAGGAAGGATCCTAGAAAACAGATGAATGTGGAGCGGAGGATTTAACCACTTCTTTTCCTTAAACACCATTTGAAAATCATAATTAAAAACAGACCCCTTCTCTGCCTAGCCAGCAGGTCACTGCGGTTTGACTCTTTAGCAAAGGGCCTGGGAGGGAGGGAGGGGTGTAAATGGTGGGCAGCTGATCTGCTGTGCAAACAGGCTCAAGCTTGACACACAGGTGGAAATTAAAAGTCAGTATTCTTGCAGATCTCTCTAAATAAACTCTTTAGAATTGTTTAAGCTATTTAAAATAACTTTCCTTTCTCTGGGGGACAAAGAGAGTATAAAAGTCTTATGTTTTTAAAAAAGAAAAAAACATTGAAATGTATTGATTAAATCATGAGTTAATGGAAGCATCTGAACATAGTTATTAAGTTGATCTAATTTTCTCTGGGAACAACAGCAATTGAAAAGTTTGAAATGCTCTGAAAGTTACCACAATTTATTTTTAAAAACTCTCATAAAAGTGTCAATGAATATCTAGAGAGCAAAGTAATGTTTCATTTAGTGTCTAACAACTCCTTGGGGAAATGAGTTGTTGATTTAAATGATTAACCAAAGCTTAACCCATTCAGGGCTTAGGGCTGAAGAGACAAACCAGTTTTATTTCAGGCTGCTAACCTAGCCCATCACTAAAGAACACACAGTATTAAAAGTATAATGAGATGAGGTATGGATTCCTATATGTCCTGTTATGTTTTACTAAACTTTAGAAGTTATCCAACAGTTTGGCTAGAGTACAAGTCAAAAGGCTTAGTATGCCTACTGCCTATTTTTTTTTTTT